TTAAAGGTTAACCAATACCTCTAAGTAATGTTAAGACTCTAGAAGAGAAAAGATGATAAAAATGCTATTAATGCATACTCATCGTAATTTTTAATGCAATTTTCAATAATACGTATTTTTATTCTTTAATTGATAATAAGATCTAATTACAAAATGCTTTATAATTAAATCATTAATTTTTTAAAAATATTTTATAAAAAGGACTAAAATAGTAACATCGAAAAGATCGCCAACAAAATCATGATATCAAACTTTGAGTAAATAAGTAATAAAAGGGTAACTAGTACTACGTACTCAACCAATAAAAGTGGAAATTTTTATTTAAAAATATTTAACAAATATAATATTTAAAATATTGTATTACAATTATTTAACACATTTTTTAGATAATTAACACATTTAATAATCCTTTAATGAATAGCAAGACTCAAAATAAAATTATGGTTTGTGGGTATTTATGACATGGAGGGTTTTGGACAGAAAGTGGGTGAGTTTGGTTAATTTTTTTATATTCTTGTAATTTTCAATAAGCATATTATCATTTCTCATTTAGTATGTATGAATGGTATATTATCTTTGTTTTATACTTTTTAAATTTTTTCCTGTTATTACAACGTATAATACTAACAAATTTTTTTTCATAATTTCCTTCACATTTTTTTTGCATAAAAAAGATTGTGAGTTGTCTATCGAGGTCTCATCAAAACATTAACTAATATTATTCAAAGAAGCATACTATAAACACACTACCTTCTTTTGCGTTTACTTTCAATTAAGGTATAGAATGAATTTTGAGAATTGATTCAATTTATGTAATCCATACTTTTCTTTTCGAATTTATATGAATAGCGAACGTGCCATGAAAAAAAAATGAATTTTGACTTCATAATCATAATTGGTCAACATTATATTTAAATAAAATAATTTTAACTATTGTATGATTAAAGTTAATTTTCTTCTTTTACACTACCACTATTAATTATTTAGCAACATGAGAAAAGCTTGACCTAACATACGTGCAAACGGTCCCATACATGGTTAATTTTCTAAACTAGTGGCCAAGACAATTCAAATATTGGAAAATTTTGACTTGACTTTCGTTTACGACGAGAAACTCAACCAACCCTTCATGCTTAAAGTAGCGATTGTGAATGTCGAAACCTACCCTCAAACGCGTGGCATGAATTATAATAAGCATGCCATGCATGCATCCAGCCCACAAATTTGACGGCAAGAACATTGCGATGAAGTAGAGGAAACATGTAACGGGAAAGCTGGAAGGGAAAAACAAAAATGAAAAAATTAAAGAAGAGACTATTATTTGCATTTAAAGCCAAAATATATTGCCTCCAAATCCACGAGAAAAGCGACATCACTGTGTATATATATGTGTGTGTATTTTATATTAGGTTCACTTAGTGTCTATATATCCATGAGTCGTAACCTAATTGAATTACAGATATGATGCAGTAAATCATATAAAGAAATAATGCTTAAAATTAATAAATGTATTGGTATATATATATAATAAAAAAATTACATGACGCAATTTGCAGTGTGTTTCCTGGACAAGCAAGAGCAGATCATGTATTACAGTCATTTTTGACATGTTTTTGTAATCCAGTGAAGATCTTTTGTGGGGTGTGATTATTAGCGTCGATGGAAAGTGGTAGTGCTGCTCCAAAGGTGGGAAGTGAACGGGGAAAGAGTGGTGATGATGCATGAGCAACGTTAACATGACCAGCAACGTTGATTTCACCCAAAGTGCATTTTCCTCGACTGCGGCCAGGTACAGTGGAACACGGGTTCGGTTGAGAAGGTTTAACGGGGCCTCTTTGCAATGAGTGGAGTAATAATGGATTCTTGTGTAAGTGCAACCATTGCTCCCCCTCTAGAGTCCTTGCTGCTCTTATTTCTTGTAAACTCAACACCAGAATCATTGTTGTGATCGCACACATCTTCATCAGGTAGCAATGGTAACCCATTTTTGTGATGAGGGGAAAGAAGAGAAGCTTTAATTTGAATATTAGGGAGATGATGACGGTGATTATATATATATATATATATATAGATAGATAGATATAAGTTGACCGAAATCCGCGGATTGAAATTGTCAAGAAACGGTGCGGATAGTCTAAATCAAACACCCAGGATTTTCCTCCCAAATGCTAAGCGTTCACATACTTTCGTGTTATTTTAATTAAGTTATTTTTTTGTGCTATATATTTCTACTTTCCCTCCCTTTTATTTATTATTTTTCTAGTCAACGTACGATTTTTCCTTTCATTTTCCTTCTCATCTTTTAGGGGTCAACTCTAGGGATGTGCATATCTACATTACCAAGCTTTTTATAGTCCAAGTTACATTACCATGTTTGAAGCGAGGAAATTTCGTCTTATATCCCCCCCCCCCCCCTTTTTTTAATTTGTGTTAATTTTAATATATTTTTACGATGAATCTATATTTTAAACATATAAGATTTATTACATTATATGTGTGAAAATAAAATAAGTAATTATAAGTGTGACTTTGAAAAGAAAGAATATGAATTATTTATTTATTTAATTTGAATCTATTATTTAAGATAATATGATTTGAGTATTTATTTAAGGTAATTTGTTTTTGCGAATTGAGTATTTATTTTAAGCAATTTGATTTGAGTATTAGCAAGTATGGTTTTTTCCAAATTACTCTTCATTGACTTAAAAACTTGATGGGATCAAGTTTATACTTAGAGAAGAGAAAATGCGATATTTGAGTATAAGAAGATAATATATTTTGCTTATTCTACTTAAAATTGATTTTTGACTTATCATTGTATTCTTGAGAGAATCTTGATTTTATTGTAACTCATATATAAGAGCAATTAAAGCTTTCAATCATTGAGTTTATTGTTCTAGTAAAAAGGAAAGAGTTTAAGCAGAATTTTAAGAATTCTTTCAGTCTATTGCACTCTATTTATAGAGGGAGGTTTTATGTTATCCTTGTATGAAAAAAATTGCTATGTACTCTATTTTGAATTAATGTAAAGGAAGGTTCGTCGGAGTAAAACCTTAAGCTATTGTTTGGAGATTGAAGTAAGACACTCAGCTAGGATTTACAAATCTATTTATGCAATTCTTCTCTCCATGTCTCTTTTAATTTTATACACTATTTATCTTTCAATTATCTTTAAAATTTTATTTCAATTGTTTTCTTTCATTGAACTTTAAAATCAATTCACCCTCTTTTGATTTTATTAATTTGCATTATCTTTGATGTTTTTTAACTCTAAAAAAATTACATTTTAAATATATTTTTTAATAGAGGATTCTGAAATTAAATTTCTGATATAAAAGAGGGGAGTGTAAAAAGAAATAGCCTTGAAATGTTGAACGAGTCTTAGACCTTGACTAGGCAATGAAGCCCATTTTTCATTGCCCCACAGCATAATAAATGGGCTTGGGTTTAGTTTTGTTCACCGATCTTTATTTACATTTTCTTTTATACTTCTTTTTCAAGTAGTTATTGTCAGATGTTTAACTTCAATCCTAAAGAATACTGAAGTTAACAAAATCAAATTTGTTATGCAAGTAATTATCGTTGAAGATAATTTGCCTCTTCCAAATGCTTGACTTTTTCATTTGTTTTACCCACTTGAAAAGAGCTTCTTCAGCAATGTGCACCGTCTCTTAAAGCATCAGTTTCTCCAAATATGGAAATACGTGTTTGACATTTTAATCACATCACAAAGGCACCAAAATCACAATGTAAAATGAACAAAATTAATTTTCATGGGTTAAGTAACGCAACAATTCATGATAAAATTGAAGACTTTTCCACTTGCAATAACATTCGAAATACCACGAATATTAAAAGAATAAACAGCTTGTAAATCAGAAAGCACCGACTAATTAATGATAATTGCACCATAATATTCAAACCACGCGGAAGCAAACTGTAGAATTTGGAAATATCCAGAGAATGTCAATAAGTGAACAAAGAAATAACAAGATGGGCATTCATTGAATGATATAATTCAACAGAATAAGTGAACTTTCCAATGTTGATTTCTTTGATATTGGTTCATCCTGCAAAGACTTAAAAATGTCACAAGAACAAAAAAAATTGACGTGTTTTTCTTCAATTTAAAAAATAATCACATCACTTGCATATAATTTTTAGAAAACAATAGATTTTTTAAAAAAATATACAGTAGTATGATAAGAAAAAAATAGATTAAAATATCAAATATGTTATCATACAGTCATTTGTTGCAAGCCTATAATTGATATGTATATTTTTTATAAATTTGAATTATATAGCATCACACCTGCATGGCTGCATTTCTAAGTTGTACAGTAACTTAATTTTTTTTTGTTATAATTTATTTTCTAACTAGTTTTGTTAAAGATATCATATCAAAATTTTAATTTATTTAAAATTAAAATTTTACACTGATAATTATAATAGAAGTCAATATCAAAAGTAACATACACACGTTAAAGATTAACACATCACATCAGATAAAACTTTAATTAAAAAATAGATCTACAATATTGTACCTAAATTCTATTTCACTCAGAAAGAGGATTCTAAGATTTTTAAAAAATAGCAAGTTAAACTATAAATTAGTACACACCACCTATCAAACAAAAGAATATTCTCTGACTGTAAGAGAACCAATGCTACCAAGGAAGTGTTTGAATTCACGTTAAAAGACTTAAACCATAATTACAGGTCAAAAATTATAATTAATAGTATTAAAAGTAAATATTAATCCCGCGACATTGAAATGTGAATTTAAACTTAAAATATATTTAATTTCTTTTGTAAAAAACAGTTTTCTTTTTTAAAAAATAAAACAGACTATATTTTATTTTTAAAAAGAAAAAGAGCATGTTTAGGTCTCCATTTCTTTTTCTTTCTAATCTCTCTATGCAAATTCATCACTCTCAAATTGAATGAAGCAGAGGAGAAACAAAAACACAGAAAAAATTTATTGACGGAGCAGCTCATACAAATGGGGTGATATTCTTACAAACAACTGGAGCGAATAGCTCCCATATATAAAATCCTCACAGAAGCAGTATAGCATACTAATGTTAGGTCACTCTGTTCCAAAATACTCATTTCAATACAAGAAAACAACAATTAAAAACAAACACTCACTCTCATTTACAATGCAAAAAAGGCAAAAGGAAAATTTTATGGTGAAAATATAATTTAAATGGGCATTAAACATTGTGAACTCAATGCAGCAGAACGTCCAACGAAACCCCGAATAAAAACGCAGGGGAGAAAGTAGGGAAAAAATTGCTTTCCATATTGTTTGAAATTCTATTTTTGTTTTATCCTGGATCAAAGCAAGCTATGTTACTGTACAGTTTCAACCAGCCTTGGTAATGGTAACCTGGTTCACTATTGCATAATGTATCTTCCTCCTCGTCGCTGATCATTGGCGTATGAATCTGTAAATTATAAACACCTAAAAGGTTAAAAAAAAGTGTACACAAAATTGTATTTTGCAACCAATTCCACCAGACAGACATAAGAAAGAAATATTCACGTCCTATATTAAAGTAAATAATCTTAATGTGTCATGAGGTAAACAACTAAGAAGTGCAATTGTGAAGTTCTGCATGGCATCAGCATTGATCTCTGTCAGATATATGATTAATTGTCTTCTTACTCATTTGTTGCCTCACAACTGCAAGTCATTTTGCCACTGACACCACTTCCTCCCAAAGAAACAAAAATTACAGTCTTTAGATAACAATTGAAGAAAGCCAATTTATAGCTAACTATTTATTATTTCTTAATTTGCATAGTTATTTAGTAATTTTATAAATAATTTTTCTAATATGCACTGTAAACGTACAATAAGAAATCAATAAATAGTATATTTTTATTAAAAATTATACAATGTTAGCAATACATTAAATTACTAACTTCTAATAAAAGCTTACTATATATAATGTCATATTATATACCTCTGGACACATATTTGTACCTGTCCATGAAATTCGCATATTTGAAACTTTGACCACCAAACATACAATGGTCTTAGGCAAACGTTTTAGTCCATACTTGAACACATATTTATCCCACAAAAAATTCTTTTTGTAAATTATTCCAGGCAAACAAAACAGAAAAACCAAAGTGGATCGTTGCCCAATGGTTAAGCAACAATTACTGACCTTATATACAGCCTCTGAGCCTCAAGCAACAGGTTGATCGGATTCTCTTATCCCAATCTGGCGTAATTGTTGTAGGTGATTAGCTATTTCCTGCAATAGGTTAAGTCCTTCTCCCCCGTTACTCAATAAGTTGATACTGTGCTCAAGGAAACTCAAGTCTTCCTCAAGAACTTGCAACCTTTCAATAAAATCCGGAACCAAACTTCCAGCAGAAGCCAAATCATTATTTCCATTGTACCCAAGTTCAACATTTTTCGTGCAAACGGGGGGTTCCTTGGATGAGGAATCATCATCAGCCATGGCTTCTGAATTTAATTTAAGAGAAGAAACGGATTCTTGCATTAGAAGATTATCATCCAACTTTTCACAGTTCTCTGGGGATTCCTTTTCATCATTTTCAGAATTTAGCCAGTTGTCCTGAGATTGATGAATATTCAGGAAAAAGTAAACTTGCTTCTCCAACTTCTTCAAACGCTGGGAAATATATAGTCTTTCATCTTGGAACTCCAATGGTGATTTTTTTACAGATTGAACATTCTGTTTTTCCAAAGACGTAGGCAGAATTTCATGGTTGTCAGAGATATTAGTATTTTCAGTAACTGACTTTCCAATGAAACTTTCATCCTTTTCAATGCAAGTAGATTGCGAATGATCCAATCCAATATCTTTCACCTTCATTTCAGAATTTGTCTCCACCATGGTTTCCATCATTGATTCATCAGGGAATTTCTTCCTGTAAAATTCAAGCTTTGCTTCCAACTCTTCTATCTCTTTCTCCTTCTCAGCAAGAAGGTCATTAGCTTTTTGCAAAGCGTCTGTTTCATACTCTGATTGCTCATCCATCATTCTTAAGTACTGCAAGGCTTCCATATGTAATGTTGCCTTTTCTTCCTGCAGCCTTGTGATCATGGCTAATGCTTGATTTGCAGCAACTGCAGAAGCATTTCTTTCTTCTTCCAGCTCTTTATACAAAGCATTCATTAATTTCCTGTCATGATCAACTTGTCTTTTTAGCCTGTCAACCACGCTTTCACCTTCAATTTCACTGACAATACTTCCATCCAGAGACAAACCAGATTCATTTCGCTCTAGTGAAATCATTTTTTGAAGTATCTGCAGTCCAGCAGAGTTAGAAACATCAGAAGTTTTCAATTCTTCGCTGTTTAAAGACAATCTAGGACTGATATCATTAACAGACAGATCAGTCCCTCGAGTAGCTGAAAATTGTGACAACAACACCTTCAAATCTTCACTAATTCTTGTAGAATCTTTCCCAAGCCAATGTTCTACAAGCATGCCAGACAACTGTCTTCCTCTGTTACCGACAGCTAGCTTATAGGCATCACCAAGATCCAGTAAATTGGGATTTTGCTGCCCAATGTCGCTAGAAACAGGGTTTGATTCTAAACCTGCATCAGATCCTGTCAGCTTATCGCTTGACTTAATTATTTCCTCAAAGTCCATGGTGCATCTTTGCTCGGATGTTATCCCCACCTCGTCAATTCCCAAATCATCTATACAAGAATGGACAAAAGGTTTATTATCAGTACAAAAGAAATCATGTATTTATGGACTTAAGATAGTGGAAATTAGGGGCCTTTTTGGCTTGACACAACGTTTTCTATTTTCATAAATAACTACTGAACTACCACCTTATTTTTACTTTATTTCCTGTTTTGATAGATTTGTTCCAAAACAGTGAAAACAACAAAATCTTGTTTTTAGTATTTTCCAGATCTTTGAAAATAAGAAATAAAGTGAAACAAGATGGTATGTTTGTAATTATTTGCGAAAACAGGAAATGAATGCAAAATATGTTTTCTCAAATCAAACAGGTCCTAGATTTTTCAGATATTAAAAAAGGTAAAATGACTTCTTCCTAATTTGTAAAAATGACATGGCTATTAAGAACTAAGTTATTCCTTTACATTAATTTTCTACAAAGAACTATAACATACTCCTCCGTCTTTCCAATCCAAATGTTATGTGGCAAACGCTAAAAACAACTTACAGTTTTCCTTTGATACTTCAGCAGGACCTCCTATTTTATTTGATAATGCAGTGGCATCATTCAAGGAAAAAGGATTACTTGGGTGAGGACAAACAGCATTTCTTTCAACCTGCTGCCAAGAATCAAGTTTTGTCAAACCATTCCCACTTTCCACTGTTGATGCTGCAGATTTTGTAGCAATATCTGTATTTTCCAATTGCATTCCCGACTCTGATAACAATGGATGCAGTACAGAAGCTGGAGTTCTGAGCTTTTCTGAAACCAAATTCTCATTTAAATCAACGATGCAAGGCTCTATATGTTTACATGGAACTTCTATGTCTTCCGCCGTGTCATCTCTTCGCCGAACTGGTATGCTTGTTGTACCATCATCATCAGACAAAGGAACTTCTGGTTCAGACTCAGTATCAGAAGTAATCTTTAGTTCAGTGTAACCCACATGAGACAAAGGATCTGCCTGATTATTCCTCGGGTATGTAGCTCTGGCTGATACAAATGGTTTCGCTCTTCTTTCCTCATGAAAATCGTTTCCAACAACATCTGATATATCAAAATCAGCAGCACCAAAACCAATTGACTTGGTAAATACCAACCTCTGATTGTAACCCTTCAAAACCCATTCCTCATCACAACAAGAACATCGTTTTGCAATTGTATGTTCACCAAGTAACGGATCCTGATCCAATCTGGAGTCAGATTCCTCCCCCATTTTACCCACCAATAATCGGTAAGTTTCAGCATTGGATTTATTGATGGTAGCAAAAGAAAAGAGGCAACTTTCACACATTCCTTGAACATTTACAAGCTTATCATGCACACGACATAGAACTAAAGAAGAAATCTCTGACTTATGTCCACTACAAATCAAGTCCCAATAGTACCCTCGTTTCTCCTTGCCTAACACATGATCAAGCCTTGAGCAGAACAGGCAAGGTGTTTGCAATTTGCAGTAACCAGCAAACTTTGTAATAACATAAGAAAATACAGCATCAATAAACAGGAAAAGGATCAGCAACCATTCCAGAAAAGCCGATGCCAAAACGGAGGTAACACTTGCAAAGAGACTATGCCACTCAGAAGACCAGATTCCCGTGGAAGCCATTATTCAGCCAACTCAAATCACTTAATTCAAAAGGAGAAACTGATTGCTTGAAACTTGAAACGGGTCAAACTTTGACCTCCTTCCCGGAGATGATATAAATAATTCAAGGCTAAAGGTCGAAACTGAATACATTAAAACCAAAATCAGAAATATTGTTTGTTTATTTTCTATCTCTATCCAACAATCTGAAATTTAATCGAAAACAATATTAACAGTATTGATTAGAGGGTGGCAGTGTCAGTGCATAAACAGGTAGGTTAAAACAAGATCAAGCATTGAAAACTGAAGCAGGAAGTCAGAACAATTATTAATTTATTTTTATTCAAATATAAAACATAAATGATCAAATCGATACCCAGAAATTCATGATGTACTATGAAAGTTTCTGGTAAAGGTAAGAGAAACAAACTGAAGCAAAAATCTTATTCCTATCAATATAATCAGGAGGCAATTTAATGAGATGAAACGTAATTGAAATTTTCTAAGTATAAGATGGATAATTAAATAAGGGGGTAGCTAGAATTAATAATATAAAAAAATAGGAGTTATTGGTAATTAGTTATTACATGAACTGAAAGCAATAAAAATACATGCAACGAAGAGAAATAAATACCTTATATTATATAACTATGATATCATGTGAATGTAGAGAGAGAGAGAGAGAGAGAGAGAGAGAGAGAAATGAGAATGAGAAGAATAAAGGAATTGAGCTTAGCAGGAACAGGAAGAGTAGAAGGTGAGCGAGACCGATCTACACAAAGTAAACCAACCGAAAGGTTGAAGCTTTCCAACGGAAATCCACGCACTCTTCACATCACATTTTTTTTTTTTTTTTGTGCTGAAAAGAAAAGAAAAAGATAAGAAGCCGACAAGGACAAAAAGGGGTCTACAGAGCGATGGGAGAACGATAATTTTCAAGTGCCTAAAATACCCCCAAGAGAAATTTCATATAATAAAAAAATAGCAAACAGAATAAAATATAAATAAGAGAATTTTACGGGTTGTTTAATTAAAAAAAGCTTTTAATTATGAAAGTATTATTTTTTGTATTTTAAAAAATATTTTATAAGAACTATTTTTATAAATATTTTATAAAAAAATTAAAAAATTAAAAAATAATTTATAATAAAAAATAAAAATACGTTTAAAATCAAATAGTTCACTGAGTTTTATTCTTTATATAGGAAAAATAAAAAAGAAGGTAATTATTTTTTAGTGTGAAGATATTTCTCCTTTTTTATTTTTTTTTACAGGAATAAATATTCTTATTTGTGTATATTTGATCAGCAAGAAATTATATTAGATATATAGTAAAATAAAATATTTGTTAAAGTATATAAATTAAAATATAATTAAATATAAATAAATTAACGCTATAACTATATTTATTTTTTAAAGATATTCCTATCAAAATATTTTATTTATTATTAAATTCATCTTTTAAAGATTTATTTTTATCTTCAACAAGTTTTTTTTATGTTAAAGTTTTGTATGTAAAAACATTATACTGAAACAATTAACCCTAATATAATATTAATATTCAAAATTTCAAATAAAAAAATTTCTTCCTTAAAACAATACATAAAATTCTAGATTCATGTTTGCATCACTATTTAAACTTATAAAATTATTTGTAATGGCGTCTTATGTTGCCAAAATTTATAAAAATAGTAATATTATTATAAAAATTTTAAAGGTAAAAAAGTAATAATTTTATTAAAAAATAATATTCAATAATATTATTGTGTAATATCATGCATATTAAAAAATGGTATTATTATTTATAATGTGACAAACCTTGGTAAAGAAGCATAACTACTGGTCGGTTGGAAAGCTGAAGCAGACAAATGCTAATATGGTATGGTCGGCGCGATCTCAATACTCCTACGTCCAATCAAATAGTGCCAAGTTAGCTTATCAAGTATTGTTCATTCCTCATTAAGCACATTTAATATATAGTTTTTGAATTTTTTTAAAGTTATTATTTATTTATTTATTTTAATTATTTATTTTAATAGATTATATTGTTAAAATTAAATTATAATTTAATAAGTTTATTAAATAGTGCTTAAATATGTAATTACCCAAACACATTTTAAGAGCTTTATATGGACCAATTTGTACCGATCTAGATAAAAATAGGTTAAATTAAGTAATTAAATTAAACGTAAATATCAAATTTAAGAGTCAAGTTAGACCTACACTTTACAAAGCCCATCCTAACTTAACTTATTCTGACAAATAATTTAATTTTTAACTTTTTTTTATAAATTTAAAACATAGCAAGTAAAAAATTAAAAAAAATATAAAGATATACAAAATTTACTTGACATGCAGCTTTTACAAAACTGTTTTATTTGCAAAAATATTAATTAAAATTTATAAAAAAGAATGCAAAACAGTGTTCTGTACATCGATGAGTGAATTAAAATGAGTATTTTTCATATCAACTTTATAATTTTTAATATTATTAATGTATTTTTTGTGGAAGCTAATATGAGTTAGTATGTTAATTAACTTATGAGTGCGTAATCATTTTTAAACCGTTAAATGTATTTTAAAATTTATAAATGGTTCATATCTTTTACTTGTAACTTAAAAATATAAGTTTACACATATTCATCATTTAATCATTCGTAAAAAAATTTATAGTTTCTCTTTAGACCTTTAAAACCTTTTATTTTCTATCTTGAAAACATGCAATTGAAGGGCTCACTCTATAGAAAGATTCTTCAACTTGAAAGCTAAATAATGACACAAATAAATAAATTATTATATTCAATTTTTAACAGAAGTTCCTTTCATCTAGTCCCTTGAAGTACTTTGCTCACTTTTGAATAATGAAAAAATCATTCAAAGCACACTAACTAAAGACATAGGACAAAAGAGTTCAGAAGGGTGAGGGTAGTGGAGAGAATAAAGTATAAATGAAATCACTTAGATAGAAGCATGTTGGATGACATCTTCTATCTGTTATCAGAGATGTAATGGCAACTGGATTCTCCACAAACCCTATTTTTGAAGTTAATAATTTTAAAAAATACTTTTACATTCACTCTTATAATCTCAATTTATCACAAAAATGACATTTGTATTGATACATTATTCAATGCTCTTTTCGCATGTTCTTCCTGTATAATGGTTGCTTTACATCACACAAAATTTGCAACTTTAGCTTAAGCCATATTTTTTTGCTTAAGCTAAAATTATGGACAAAAAATTAGCGGAAGATAAATAGCTTAAGCTATAAAATATAATACAATTTTGATTTAAACAGTGAATATTAGCTTAAGTGAATATCAAGATAAATAAACATTTCCATTATAACCAATATATCTTAAGTGAAATTACTACTACTTAAGCGAAATATGAAATATGTCTTTTAATTCTCTATTATTTCTCATTCTCTCTCTATTTTTGAGATTTGAAAAGTTCAATGAGCACCTGCATCTTGTTAAGAATCTTAAAGTTGATGCATAGAATTTGCCAAAAGAGTACCTAAAACCAAAAGAAAGAGAGTTGACGATAAAGACTAAATTTTAACTTCTTAATATTTTAGGTTATAAATAAATAAATAAAATTTATGTGAATTCACAAAGTATATTTTGAATTTAATATGTATCAAAAGTTTCCATTAGTAATTATATAAAAAAATTACTATGTGAAAGAAAAAGAGTTCAGTCTAGGTCTCTATGCATGTCTCTTCATAAGTTTTATTGCAAGGAGGGATGGACTATAAAAACTATATGATAATTTCTTATTTTATATTTAACAATATATATGAAAATTTTACCATATGATGTACGTAAATTATGAGAAAATAATTAGTCTAAGAGTCAAGATAAGAGCAAAAGATGGACAGACTATAATATGTAGGAATGAAGCTATTAAAGAAGCCTTTAAAAGCATGTAAATTTTTTAGCAAATTCATGCAATGGTAGATATTATTGTTGAAAATCTTGTTAAGATCATTTGTAAAAAAATGCAAATTTTAATGTCACAAGTCATTTTTATATGATAAAATGTAATATTTGAAGTATATAGTTTAATTAATTACTTAATCAATATTTTTTTTATGTTAAGACTTTTGCCATAAATTTAGGATTTGTTTGGGAACACACCTTAATCAACTTATTATTAAATAAACAATTTTATATAATTTGTTAATATCTTAAATTTGTTCATAAAATTTTATATAATGAGCTATATTAAAAAAACTTATCAAAATAAATACAAAATAAAATAACAATAATTATAAATATTCGCAAGCTTTTAAAAATTAAAAAATTGTCATTGGAATCAATTTAAGAAATTTATTTTAAAAATTTCATAATAAAATAAAGTAATTAAAATGTTTGAAAATAATATCATAAAATATTTTAAACAAATTTGATAACCTTCCACCTTTTCTACTCATTGTTTTAATAAATCTAACGATGAATTAACTGTTTTTATGATAATATATCTTAAGCTTTCAAATACTATTGCTGAAATAGTAAAAAAAGTTCAATACTGTTATAAAAAATACTAGTTATACTATTAACAAGTGAAAAATATGTTATTTAATGGTAATTTCAACTATTTAATTGAGATTTTGAATATTGAAAAGCTTTAATAATAATAACTAATAAAAAATTAAAATTCACAAAAAAATATACTATTTATACTTTGTTATTTTTAGTTTGAGATTTGTGACTGTAATATATGACTTAACTAAAAATGAGTCCATAAAATAAAGTAGTTAATAATTTATTATCTCGCTTATATAAATGATAGGAGCTTACTATTTTGTTGAAGCTAAACATATAACGCTTAATCTACTACATCCCTGGGCTTAAGCAGATTGTGTGCTGCTTAAGCTTATAATACTAACTTAAACTAACAAATATACGTAAAATTAATTACATTATAACATTAATATAATATAAAAAATATTACTGATACAATACATTAAAACATATATGTATATATTATATATAAATTGATAAATTAATTAATAATTTAATTTTTTATTTATACTTTTTTATTTATGTAAATATTTATTAATTATTAAATTTTAAATGTATATTAACAACTATATTTTTTAAAAAAAATCTATCTATATCTATGTCAAATTTATTAAAAATAATTATTTAAAATTTTACATATTTATATTTAAAATTTTACATATTTATTTAAAATCTTAACTAGTAATTATATCATTCATCAAAGTTTTGTTTTCAATTTTGAGATTCAATCCCACATTCAAAACTTACAAAACATGTAAAAATGAAAACAAACGAAACAAAACAAAGTTAAATATTTGGATGTCTCTCTTGTGTATGCAAACTTCAAATCTGTCCCAAAAGTTGATATCTAAAACAAAAAGTTTTTACTTATCATACAACATTTATACATTTAACAAATATACTATGTAAAACTGAAAATCTAATAAATTATGCATTAAATTTTTCAACGATACTTACCTAGTTAGCATTGTAATTCTCAAAGTCTAGAAG